TACGTGATAGCCCCGGTGCTTGTAGTTCAGGGTAGTTACTTCACCTGGTGCAGGTCTCTACAAATCTTGTTGTGGCCAGGCAGAGAGACACACCGACAGCCAGCCAGGCAGGCAGACAAACAGACAGACATATATGTAAGTACGTAAGGCACATCTACACATAGCTTTGCAGCAATAGTAGTCCTACATAGGAGTATCATCAACTGGGGTCTTGATCACCTACAACCGTTTCCAGTCCCATGTCTCCGCCTTTGAACCCGCTCTCGAAACCCTTGTACACGCGAGGTGCCCTGCATCCCGCACTGGAATGCCGTCAAGCTCGGAAAGCTTCGCCCCGGCGTCGTGCACGGCGCGGTAGACCGCAACTGCAGACTCTGCGGGAGTGTGCAGCTCCTGGATGTTGAAGGTTTAGGGTTTAGGGTTTCGCGTGAAGGGTGTTGGGGCCAAGGTTTTGCATGCAGGGCCAGTAGGATTCGCAACAGTCCGCATACAATTGCCGGGCACGCTGAAATTGCCTGTGTTGCGAGAGCAATGGATTTCTTCTGCTGCTGCCACTCCCAGCCACCAAGACACCCGACAAGAAGCCGCACCATCAGCAATGCTTTTGGGCAACTTTAAAACCAGGTAAAAACCAGTTCGTGCACATCCTATTGCTGCCCTTCGAAATCTAACCGAGGCTCAAAGCCAAGCTCACCGACGAAGGTGAGCCGAAGGACCAGGAGCGGATGCCCGGCGATCTCCAAGTGTTTGGCACCGGAGAAAGGCAGAGACGCATCGCTCCTTTTAGGCTTTAGGGACTTTAGGGTTTATAGGGTTTAGGGTTTAGGGTTTAGGGTTTAGGGTTTAGGGTTTAGGGTTATATTATAAGGCTTATAGGGTTTACCTATAGTCTCCGTTGTAGTTCCTTTTTGGGGATACCTTATAAAAACCTTAGTATATAGTTGGTTAAACCAAAACAAGGAACTACAATGGAGACTATAGGTAGAGTTTAGGGTATGGGGTTTAGGGTCCCAGGTTTAGTGCTTTTCCGAACGTCGGCTTCCAGGTTTAGGGTTTTCGGGCTCGCCGATTAGAAGCTATAGTCTCCATGGTAGTTCCTTTTTTGGCTTAACCAATTTTATGTTTAGGATCCTAAAAGGTAACCCCAAAAAGGAACTACCATGGAGACTATAGGAAGAACCCCAAAATCATGCAGATGAAGTCAAGGCTCATGTCTGAGTCAGTCAAAGACTGAAGCAAGCGCCGGCTATGGGGCCCCTGCACTGAGATGAGGGTCATAGACTCACTGTGATCCTCGATGTGCGCATCGAAGTTCTGGTCCTCTAAAACCTTCCGGATCCAGGCTAAGTCCTTTGTGGCCGTGTTGCCACCTGCAGCGAAGTAGTAGTAGTTGTCGCCCTTTGGGTTCTGCAACTTTGTCACGGTGAGATCGGCCTCCACACCACCACGAGAGTTGCACAAAGGCGTGTAGGTGACGGATCCTATTCGCTTGCCCTCCATGTCTGCACCACAAAGGTACTGAACGGCTTGGTCTGCCTCCGGTCCATTCAAGTAGAACTTGCCGAAGTAGGACTGGTCGAAGATGGCCACGCCTTCCCGTGCAGCACGGCACTCCTCCGCGACAGTGGCATGACTCCGTGGCCAGTCAAAAGTCAGCTCTCCCTCCACAAGGTCCAGGTACTCGTGGCTTTCATGCCTGGGAATATCAGGATGATCGGCTTCGCCCAGTCGCCAAGCGCCCTCCTCATAGGCACCATAGAAATCATAGCTGAGGGCCTCTTGGCTGCCCGAGGAGGGTACAAACCAACCCGGCCGCTCAAAGCCGTGACGCGCTTGGTAAACACATCCGCGGCTCAGCAGCTCATCGTAGAGAGCCGACTTCCGGCTGCCACGACCTCAAGTTTCTCACTACTACCATACTAGTACTGTTCCTATTATATCATACTGTGTCATGTAGCAAAGGAGTAGTAGTAGTGGCAGTGGCAGTGGCAGTGGCAGTGGCAGTGGCAGTGGCAGTGGCAGTGGCAGTGGCAGTGGCAGTGGCAGTGGCAGTGGCAGTGGCGGCAG